TCCCTCCCTCTCTCTCTCTCTCTCTCTCTCTTTCTCTTTCTCTTTCTCTCTTTCTCTCTGTTGAACCCAGGGCCTGCACACTTGGCTACATCCCCATCCCTTTTAAGTTTTTTTGTGTTTTTTGAGACAGAGCTCACTGTGTAGTTCAGGCTGGTCTTGAACTCACTTTGTAGCCCAGTATGGCCTCAAAGTTGCTTTGATCCTCCTACCCCATCCTCTGGAGTGATGGGATTGTAGGTGAGCGCCACCACACATGGAAGATTTTTTGAGACAAAATCTTACTAAGTAACTAAATTGCTCAGGCTGGGCTTGAACTTTTTAGTCCTCCTGCCTCAGCCTCCCAGAGTGCTTGGAAATACAGCTGTAGCACCACACCTGATTGTTAGTCCACTTAAAAGTAATGTAATTTACTTATAAAGGAGAATAACATACTGGTTAATAAGGTAATTTAGATTCTTTGAATGTTACCATACAGAATATGGAAATTTCAGAATTTAAACTATAAATCACTCATAAAAATGATGACATTGAAATTTGAACAGTGATTGGCTTTATGATGATATTAAGAAATTATCAATATTTGAAAATATGATAATAGAATTATGATTAGCTTTAAATTTTGGAGAAATGTACCAATCTACTTACAGATGAAATAAGTTGTCTGAGATTTGCTTCAAAAAAATAAGGGAGGAGGGGAAGCAAGCCAGGGTATAGGTAAAACAAAACTGGCTAAGAATTAATTATTGAAATATGTGATAATTTTAATTAAGTTAAAGTTTATCACTGTGTAGTACAAATATTTTTAAATTTCTAAAATAGGTAAATTAGTAAGAAAAATACAGGACACTGCTAATAAATTTCAAAGGACAATGTTTTTTCTTTAATTCATAATGAAGGATCTTCATTAAGGAAAGGTCATAACTATGAGTATTGATATTGTATTTATAAAGTATATATCTAATAAATATGAAAGGTTGTTATTAGAATATATGTTGAATATATTCAGCTTTTTCTGTGTTGAACTAGAACACATGATTTAATAACTTAATAGATGAAAGTGTAACTCTACAATTTCTTCTCTCCCAATTGACTTCAAGTTTCAAAAAATAAGAGAACATTTGTTATAAAGTTTGATAAGTTTTAATTTTGGTGTTGTCTAGAAAATTACAAAAAGAGCAAAGTAGGTTTTTATTAATGCAGATGTTACCTGTTTGATTTAAAGAAATTTCGAACATCTTATACCTGATGCTCCTGAGCTGATACATGATTTTCTGGTGAATGAGAAGGATGCAAGTTGCAAAAGGAATGCATTTATGATGCTAATCCATGCAGATCAGGTGAAGTACTTTCTTAAGGGTACTTTTGTGATTGTATTTTAAATGAGAATTAAAAGTATTGCGTAGACCTAATCATGTACCTGTGGTTTGAATATTGTGATTTTTTAGTTTTGAATTTAATTTGTTTAAAAATATTTTTTCTCAATCCTTATCTCAAATACTGCTTATATGATGTATTCATTTTTCAAAGTAAATAATCAGAGAGGCATTTCCTAACAGCCACTGCATAGTTTTGGGCATTTGGGGGGTTTTCTTGATTTGGAGATTGAACCCAACACTTCACACAGTGGAACCTTGACTTACAAACTCAATTTGTTCACTGGGGAGGCTGTAACTCAAGTTGGTCAGTTGAAAGCCCAGGCTCCCCTTCAAAGGGGATCTGCCTGTATAACGGCAAATCTCAATGTCCTTAGACTTTGGCCCAGGATTTCTCAATTAACCCCACACAGGAAAAAAGATGTTGTGATGTTCCTTCCAGAACTCTTTAAGGGTTAAATCTATATCTGACACCATCTGGAAGCACAAGCAGCTGCCATTCAGGTTGTAACTTAAGACTTTGTTTGTAAGTTAAAACTAAACTTCCTGTAGTAACCCAACTTGTTTGTCTGTCAGGCCAGTCATAACTGGAGGGTCCACTGTACATGCTAAATGCGTGCCCTACAGCTGAGCTACACTCCTCTCCCCCATAGTCCTCCATAGTTTTGAGATGACATTGTGTGGCTGTATTCTATGGCACTCTGCTGTGGGGTTTTGATTGTTTTTTCCTTGTGTCGGTATAGATCTGAAATTGTTTAATAAAGATAATAGCTTGGTATGAGGTCACCCTTAGGCATTTCTGTGGAAGCAGGGTGGCCTTCGGTGTAGATGTGTGTCCTCATTAGGCTCTTCCAGTTCAGAAGGAGCTGCCAGTTCTGCATCCATCTGTGCTGGTAGTTAAAGTGTATGGGTCTGCTCTTGGTTAACAGTGACTGCACACCTTGACATCTGATTTTGAAAACTTTCCTGTCCTCTGTTATCATAATTTGGGGAATAATAGTATCATTTTCCCCCCAGATCTTCCAACTCTTTGATTGTGATAAAATATACATAACATAAAATTTACCATCTTAACATTTTAACCTTTTTTTTTTTTTTTTTTTGGACTGGGGAGCGAACTTGCAACTTTGCGCTTGAAAGGCCGGTGCGGTGCCACTGAGCTAAATCCCCGGCCCTAATTTTAACCATTTTTAAGTGTACAGTTCAGTGGTATTAAATGGATTCATAATCTTATACAACCACCATCACCCTCCATCTCCATAACTTTTCTAGTTTTGTGGAACTAAAACTCTATACCTATTAAATACTAATAACTTCCCATTACCACTTCCCCCCCACTCCTGGTAATGACCATTTTACCTTCTGTCTCTATGGTTTTGACTACTCTTAGTACATAATATAAGGGGAATCATTTAGTATTTATCCTTTTCTGACTGGTTTATTTCACTTAGCATGATGTCTCCAAGTGTGTTAGTTACTTTTCTCTCGTTGCTGAGACAAAATACCAGTCACCCAAAGTTAAAGGGGAAAGGGTTTATTTAGATCACAGTTTGTAAAGGTTTCAGTCCATAATAGGCTGGCTCCAAGGCAGAGTGACACGTGGCAGAGGGGCATCACAGTGGAGAAACAGTTAGTTCATGGTGCCCACAAGGGACCAAAAGCAACAAGGGGAAAGACAAGCCTCTTTCTGTCCCTTAAATTGTATCCAGGCTACCAGGATTAGGACAGTGCCAAGCCAATCAATATACTGATTTAGTAATCATGCATCTTAATCCCAGCATCACACACTAGATTCAGCCACTTCTGAAAAAGCCCCATCTAAGACTCCATGAGGCTTTGACAGAAACCATGACACTAAGGTTCATCCATGTTGTAACATATGTCAAAATTTTTTATGGTACTGGATATTAAAGCCTTCTTACTGAGCTACATCCCTGGCCCTTTTTTTTTGGTACCGGGGATTGAACTTGGGTCCTTGCACTTGCGCAGCAGGCAGCTAAACCACTGAGCAAAATTCCCGGCCTTCCCTGGCCCTTTTAAGTTTTATTTTGAGACAGGACCCTGGGCTAAGGTGCCCAGGGTGGGCTTGAACTTTCTATCCTCCTGTCTCAGCTTTCCAGAATGCTGAGATTACAGGTGGGCACCACCACTCCCAACTTCCAGAATTTCTTTCCTTTTTTAAGGCCAAATAATACTCCTTTAAAGATATGTATCAAATATCCATTGATAGATAATTTGGATTGCTTTCACTTTTTGGCTGTTATGAATAATGCTGTGAGCATGGATATACAAGTATCAAGTCCCTACTTGTAGTTATTTTAAATATATACCCAGAAGTGGAATTGCTGGATCACATGGCATACTTGGTTTTGAGGAACCACCATAACATTTTCTGTAGCCCTTGTGCCATTTTATATTACCAACAGCACAGTGGTTCTAAGTTTGCCACAACTTTGTAAACACTTGTTATTTTGGGTTTTTTTTTTACAGAAGCCGTTCTAATTTGTATAAGGTGATGTTTGGATACTGTTAGTTTATCTTCCTGACCAAGATTATGAAAAAGCTGCTGATATGGGGCACAGTGTTACGTCCTCTTAAAGGCTTGGTTTTACTTTTTAAAAAAATGTTTGTAGTGCTTGAAACTCAGGGTTTCATGCACACTAGGCAAGTGCTCTACCACTAAGCCATATCCCTGGTCCTAGAATTGGTTGTACTGATTTATACTTTTGTTATACTATTTACCTACAATGGGGACATAATCAAAAATAGTTCAGTTAAATTTACTAATATTTTTACTGGACAATTGTTATTTGGCTCAATGCTCTGTTTGACACTATTATATGAGGGCCCATAGGAGAATTTTCCTTCAGGTCTGTAATAACAACTACTATACTCTCTCTTACATTTTATATGTTAACTTCTTTCTTGATTGCTTTTTTTCCCCTGTTTCTTTTTGCCCTGACTTTTATCATTTTTTTATTTAGGTGTAATATGTGTATTTTTAAAGTTGCATTAAGTCCTTGTATTGAATGAGTTAGAGTATGATAAATATATTCTTTTTTTCTTAGGATCGTGCTTTGGATTACCTGAGTACTTGTATTGATCAAGTTCAAACCTTTGGAGACATTCTGCAGTTGGTTATTGTTGAACTAATTTATAAAGTAAGTGGTAATTATGATGGGTAAACAAGTTTAGGACAAGGCTAAATAGTCTTTTTCTGGAGAGTTACCTAATTCCTACATTAATATATTTTAATAATAGAAATGTTTTTACAGCATGGCCCTATTAAAGCCTTTTTTCTTTTTCCTTGGCTTATTTTATTTTCTAATTACTTTGTTCCATCCTTTGTTTCATCCTTTTCTCCGGGGCTCAAGTAATCCTCATATATTGGCAGCACTTTAATTTTATCAGAATATATATATTCTGATAAATGGTGCAATGACTTCCAGTTTTGCTGTGGCTAACAGATTATAGCTGTCTTTGCAGGAAAGAGGGTCCCTCTCAACAGAGGGTACCAATAATTTAGAAGTGGCATTTAAAGGGAAACAGGGAAACAGGGATTATGAGTATATATAGTTCCTTTCAGATGGTTTGTATGCTCTGCAGATGACACTGAGGTTCTCAACAATTGGTGTTCTCTGGTACCTGGTGACTGTTTACTAGGGTCTAGATTATATTAGGAGGGAATAGTTTTTTGTGTTTTTTTGTTTTTGTTTTTGTTTTTTGGTACCGGGGATCAAACTCAGGACCTTGTGCCTGCAAGGCAGGTGCAATGCCACTGAGCTAAATCCCCGTCCCAGGAGGGAATAGTTTATAAGTCATGTCCAAGTAATAGAGATTTGGCTGTGTGTATTTTAGGAAAATCAAATATGGCCATAATTAGAAAAGAAATATAAGGAATATTTGTTTGATAAGTAAAGGAACCAGGTGTATTTAAAACAGGATAGAAGTCTTTAGTATTCTCTCCAGTAATGAATGTCATCTCAAATAATAGGAAATATTAATTAATTTTTTATTTCTTTTAAGGCAGCGTCTCGCTAGGCAGTTCAGGCTGGCCTTGAACTCACTGTATAACCCAGGCTGGCCTCAAATTTGCAGTGATCCTCCTGCCTCAGCCTCCCAAGTACTGGGATTACAGGTGTGCACCACCACACCCAGCAGGAAATAATAATTGAGAAAAATTTTTATTATCATGCTTGCATGAAGAACTGGTGTTTTCACCAGAGATTTAGCTCAGTGGCACCATACCTGCCTCGCAAGCACAAGGTCCTGAGTTCCATCCCAGTACCGAGAAAAGAAAAAACTAGTATTTTCCTTTTATCAACTATTGATATTTATGTCATCCATCATGTTTTCCTTTTTGACGTGGCATCTAGAATAAAAATTTAGACCAAATTTAGTGTCCTGTTATAGGACTCAGTATATTTGGTCACTATGTCCTTGGTTCTGTTATTTTATACTTTCATTTGTGTGGAGTATGCATATCTTTTATAAGCCATTTGAAAACCTTTTATGAAGCAATGAAAATATGAATTATGATAGAATGATAAATATTTGAAATAAAACTTTCTGAAATTACCAGTGATATGTCACACTACCTCACCTTGTGCTTGCCAACATTGTCATATGTCCTATGGGACTGTTCTTAACTTTCAGATTAAGAACATTAACCATCCCATAAGTTAACATTAAACAAAAAATTCTATTTGAAAGCAAGTGTCAGGGCTGGTGGGGGTGTGTCTCTGTGGTGGGGCAGATGCCCAGCATACACAGTGCCCTGAGTTCATCCTCAACCCTGGAAAAAAAAAAAAAAAGAAGAAAGAAAAAATACATGTGTCCCTTGAAGTCAGTTAAAGCCTAAATGTTTTCTTTGCAGGTCTGTCATGCTAATCCTTCAGAAAGGGCTCGTTTCATTCGCTGCATCTATAACTTACTGCAGTCATCTAGCCCAGCTGTGAAATATGAAGCTGCTGGGACATTAGTAACACTTTCAAGTGCACCGACTGCAATCAAGGTATTGCTTATTTCTGGGGGCCAGATCAGATGATAGACGTACTGTCTCATCACTCACAATCTGGTGGCATTGTAATTCATTACGTGGTTTTATGGCATGGAGAGAACTACAAATATTATAAAATTATTTGCCTCCTTACATAGTCCAATCTTCCTTCTCCTCTCCTTCCTGCTTTCATATATAAATAAATATAATGACTATTTCTAGTTTCTAGACAGGTGCTCTGATATTTTAAGATACATTTTTATATTTATGTTAAAAACTGCATCTGGGAAAAGCAAGTTTGAATACTAAATGATAGATCCTAAAATTATGGATCCTAAAATCTTATTGTCTTCTCTCTTCTTTAGTTTACTATTAGGAAACTCTAATGTATTCAGAAAGTGAATTATTTGAAAAAGCCAGATTGCATAAGTAGAAAAATACACTTTTTTCCACTAATATTTAAACTTTGTTTTTAACTTTATTTTGAAAGAAACAGACAGAAAAGTTACAAAAATAGAACAAAGTTCCCATGTACTTTTCTAGTAACTTCCATAATATTCATATCTTGCATAATCACTGTATGATTGTCAAAACTAAGAAATTAACATTGAAACTATATAGTTAAGTAAACTACAGACTTTACTCAAATTTTACATTTTTTCACTGATGTCCTTTTTCAGGATCATCCAATCAGGATCCCATATTTAGTTGTCTGAGTCTCCTCCAATCTGTAATAGTTCCTCTGTCTTTCCTTGTTTTTGATGCTCTGACACATTTGAAAAATACTAGTCAGTTTATAAAATATCCTTCAGGGCCCAGGGATTTAGCTCAGTTGGTTCCAACGCCTGCCTCACAAGTGCAAGGTCCTGAGTTCAATCTCTGGTACGAAAAAAAAAAAATCCTTCAATTTGAGTCTGTCCTATATTTTCTTGTAGTCAGATTGAAGTCATACATTTTTTGGAAGAAAGAACAATTATATCAAGGTTATATGTGTATTCATATGTCTTATTAGTGGTGATGTTAAGGATCAGTCAGTTAAGGTGGTGTCTGCCAGATTTCTTTACCGTTCTAATTTTTCCCACAATAGTCAATAAATATTATAGGGGATATATTTTGAAATAACACAAATATCCTTTTGTTCCTCATATTTACACCTGTTAATTTTAGCATCAATCTGAGTTTTCTCAGCAACAATTTTACTGTGATGTTCTAATGGTGATTTTCTAATTTCTGTCATTCTACACTTACTATAGAATTCTTATGCAAGGAAAAGCTGTCTTTCCTCTTCCCTCCTTTTCTTCCTTTCCTTCTTATCTTCTTTCTTCTTTTCTGTTAGTGTGGATATTTTATTCTGTGCATCATAAGCCAATAATATCTTTTTTTTTTTATCAGATTGTTCCAGCTTTGGCTATTGATTTTTCAGATTTGCTTTTTTGTCCTTTGCTGTTAAGCTGTATCATTCTAAAATATGTTATACTTTTTTTTTCTTTTCTTAATATATGTTGTTGGTGGAGCTACTTACATATTTACCAAAAAAAAAGTGTCCTTTTGACTGACCTTTTACTGAAAGCAACATAAATATCCATTAATGTTCCACTCTGCTCTCTGCTGGACCATATATGTTGTAAATATATACCTTTTTTTTTTTTTCTTGAAGTAGGAATCTTGCTATGTTGACCAGGATAGTCTGGAACTCTTGGGCTTTGAATGATCCTCCTATCTCAGTCTCTTGAGTAGGCACACACCACTGCATTCAACTACTAACATTTTTAATAACTCAGGGTCATCTTTACATTCTTCTTTTTCTGTATTATGGCACAAATGTGTTAAAGTTTGTACCTCTAATGAAATATATTTAATAGCTATGTTTACTGGGATTCTCTACTGCTCTTTTCTACTTTGTTCCTTAGTTTCAACCCTTAATTTTTGGCTACTAGTAAAGATTTCTCCATGTAGCAGCCCCTTTCCATCCTTTTAATTTGTAAACCTTCTTGTCTTTGTAAGCTTGAATAATATTAAGATTTGTTAAATTTCTTCTGAACAAAATACATAAAATGTAGCACAGGGTTAATAAGTATATTTTGGAAAATAAAACAAAAAAAATCATCTGTTTAAAAAAAAGTATATTTTGGCTGCTTAGTAACTGTTGTTGTTGTTGTTACTTATTTTGAGATTCTATGACTTCTTAAAATGTATTCCTTTTTATAGGCTGCTGCTCAGTGTTACATTGATTTAATCATAAAGGAAAGTGACAATAATGTAAAGCTCATAGTTCTGGATCGATTGGTAGAATTAAAAGAACATCCTCCTCATGAACGAGTCCTCCAGGTAAGTGTTGTCTGAAAGAGATTTTAAGTAAGAGTTCAAATTTAGATCATTCCCAAGCCTTGGCATCTTAGTTCAATTTTTTAAGGGCCGGGCTTTTAGCTCAGTGGCACAATGCCTGCCTCAAAAGCATGAGGTCCTGAGTTCAATCCCCAGTACCAAAAAACCAAAATTTTTTAAGACTAGCCAGTTTAAAGAGAAACCACCAGCAGAGCTAAGAGACAACCTACAATGTGGGAAAAAATTTTTAGCAGCTTTAACTTAGACAAAGGACCACTATCTAGAATATATAAAGCACTGAAAATAATCAGACCCCACAAATTCAAAGACCCAGTTCAAAAATGGGCATCTGAAATGAACAGACATTTCTCAAAGAAGTAAAAGCAGCAAATGTATGAAAAAATGTTCAACATCACTGGTCATTTGAGAGATGCAGATGAAAACAGCACTGAGATTCCACCTCATCCCACAAAGAATGGCTGCTATCAAGAAATCAACCAATAACAAATGCTGG